TGAAGTGAGAGGTTAGAGTCATTTAATGAAGTTTGAGAAAGTGATGGAAGTGAAAATACTCAGTTGAATGCAGTTCCCTTTTGAGGAAGGAGTCAAATAAGTTCCTTTTAGAGCGTTACATGTGGTCAACTCTTTTAGGTTTTTTACAATATGCATTCAATGCATTTATGCAAGCAATATATTCATGAGTTAGCATACTTGATATTTTTTGTCTTAGGCATAGTAGCTAGTAACTTGTCACCAGCAATTGATCCAAAAGTTTAGGATCAAGATTTATAATAGTTCAATTCTTAACATTTTCTTCAAGAGAAGAAGGTTAAATTTCAAACTCATTACAGGTTCACGAATGTTGAGATACATTATAACGGGGACATACGTAATCTTGACACTTCAAAGATATATACGCAAACTCCTCCTGGTCCTAATTCCACCTGAACAATGAAATTAACAGAGATAAATTAACTTTTATTCTGACAAAACAGACCTTAAGAGTTAACCATGTTGCCGTAAGACATCTGATTTGGATTAATTACTGCCATATAAATTAAAATTTTAACTTAATAACTAGGCTAATGTTATCGATAATCTAAGATATACTGCCAAGTGTACAAATTGTAAGGTAGGCTACACATAAAATGAGTGTCTAATACTTCTACCAATTATGTCATATATTTAACTAAACAAATACAACTTTGGAATTACGTCATATATTTAACTAAACAAATACAAGGATCCAAAGCTTCCTAGTTCTTAACTAATATCTGTGGGATTCCTTGTATATTTTCTTTAATCATCCTATGTTTGTCTTCTCATCCGGATAACTTCTAAGATATTTAATTACTATATTGTATACAATATATAGATGTCACGCTATTGATATTATATGGTATACTTGTTAAGTATATGACCCATCATCTCCGTTATCGTCACCCATGAGTTCATCATCTCAATTATTGAGATTATTTAAACTGTGTTAAAAATTATTATTGCCAAGTGATTATAGTTTATTTATGCACAGATACCGTGACGACGGGATACGGAGAATTTTATTTCACGGGATTCAGTGTAGATACGGCGTAGATACGGGTAGAGGGGCGGATGTAATGTTGTATGTGTTGAGCATATTCTTTGGTTATTCTTGTACTAGGAGGGGAGACCTTACAAATGTAAGTGAAGGGAGAATATAATTATGTAAGTGAACAAATATGTTTTTCCTCATTTATTCTCTCTTATGTGAAGGGCTCTGTCTTTTTCCTTGAGAAATGAATGTTAGAGAATTTTTTTTTGAAGTATTTAGTAGGGTTGGAAATTATAAGGGGATTGTTTATAGGTGAACACGATTCGATTATACAGTTATTCTTGTTATGGGACTAATTACCCTTTTTTTCCCAAATTCCATTCATTCATTTGTTTACTCATTATCTATTTTTAAAGAACCCGTGAACAGCCTCGTCCAGCTTCCATTAATAGGACGACCGATCGGAAGGACGGTAATTATAGCGGTGACCGACCGGTGGGGTTCAGCGAATGAGGTGGTAATTATAGCGTTAGAGTTACGTGGCGGGCGGTGATTCGGTAGCGGAGGGCGGGAACGTGGTTGTTCTTGTTTCCGTCGGCTTCCGGTACCTTTGGATTGGACTTTTGTAGAAGAGCTTTGCTATAAGGACCCAAAATATGGGACCAACATGAGGGACATGTGATAGGAGGGGGACATTTTGATGGCCAGCTTATTATGCAATAGGAGGGGGACACCTCACTTGTCCCCTATGTTGGTCCCGTATTTTAGGTCATTGGGAAATTTTTCTTTGTAGAATACCCCCTTTCCTTTTTTTTTCTAATGTTGTCACTTATCCCCGCTTTTCCTTTTTCTTGATGATGCCTTGCGTTGGGACTGGCTTCTGGTGGGCCAGCGAGGGACAAGACTCCCATCCTAGAATGCGTGTTTTTGCACTCTTGATTGGTGTATTACTGATGTGATTTTACACGGTTTTACGCACGTTGAGACCCTTATCGTTAATCGTTAATATTCTCGCATCATAGCCAACGGTATTGAATGCATGTCACAATGCAAACATGATAGTCATGAGCATGAAAGAATATAGCATTCTCCATTTACTCTTCGTTTATAAGTAAACATGAATGATGCGCCGCTCTATGCTTTTGGTTGACGTATCGTTGACATTGCAAATATACAAACTTACGTATTTTTCATCTTTGATATGCTCATATTATAAGTAATAGTCTAGATGAGTGATATGTCTGTGACACATTAATCGGGAGTACGGAGGAACGTGCTCCCTTTATTTATGAGTAAACAGAGTAAGTTTGAGATAATGTTCTTAGGGGGTGTTTGTTTCAATTTTTTGGGGATATAGAGTGGATTACAAATTCTATGATGAAAAAATGGGGGGTTTTTTTAGTTTATGGATTCCATAACCTTTTTGTTTGATTCAAAATAAATTTTGGGATATTGAATACCCACATAATAAAAAATTAATATATTATAGCATTTGTAAAATCCTTTCATTGAGAGAGGAATTAGTCTAGATTTCAAATTCTAAAATTTATAATGTTACAATTTGAGTTTGAAACAAACAAAATACGAATTATAGGATTGCATATCCCAAAAAATTGATGAAACAAACAATATTATAGAAATCCCAACTCATGTTAAAAAAACTATAGATTTTGAATCGCATGGTGAAATCCATATTCTAAAATTATAGGATTTGAAACAAACACGCCCTTAGAGATCCTGAAAACAGGAGCTTCATCTTTCCACTTATTGTATCGTTGAGCTACAATATCCTTCCTTTAGATCTTCAAATATAAACGAAACAATAGCTTGATCAGCGCACCCGTTTACGACCTCCACATCTTCCATTAAAAATTAATTTTTAACTTATACATTTCGTACGCATTGTCATACTTTCCTAGATTTATAAGATACAAATTTGAGAAGAATTGAAGTCTCAAGTTATGACTATTATTGATTCTATCTCTCCTTATTTTGGAACTTATGGAAAAAATCTTATAATTATTAATAGTATTTTCGTCTTTTATATAAAAATTTCTAAGAAGAAAATGGTATCCATCCCAACATTGGCTTCATTGGCAACTTGGCTTTAAATATGTAAATGTGTGTTTCGTAATTTACATTAAATTTCCAATTTTTACTCCAAACCATATAATGTCTTTTCTAATAATGGTCCCTACATCTCCCATAACTTGGAACTACATTTAACTCTAACCCAACAGAGACAATATATAGCCTTGTATCTGAACTCAAAAAAATAAAAAATAAAAAACAAAACAAAAAACTAAATCTATCCCACGCAAAGGAGAAACTACTTGAAAAAGGAAATACTAAAGACTACACCCTCAAATTCTCAACAAGAAGGCTAAATAAAACGCGTATCATACAAAAAGCAATTTATGATCAAAATAAGAAACATAATCTCTTTATCGGGATTATATATCAAAGATAACTCTTTTTAAACCACAACCTCATATTACCTAGTGTATAGTTATAATTTGAATTAATTCTGAAATGAAAATAAGTAGGGCTGGGCGTATTCGGTTCGGTTCGGTTTTAAGCCCAATCCGCATCCAATCCGAATTTTTCGGATTCTCAAAACTCTCATTCAGATCCAGATTTTTTTTCCTTCATCCGAATATTCGGCCCAACCGAAATTCGGTTCGGTTCGGTTCGGTTTCGGTTTTGAACCGAATTAACTCCATTTCACAAAAATCTGGGTAAGTTTTAGTTATATCCAAAACTGAAAAGAAGCAATCAAAACTGAAAAGAAACAATCAAAACTGTACTAAGCCACTTAATCAAATTGTATGATCTGAATATAACTAGCTTAATACACTAGGAGGACCATGTAATTATGTAGCCTTTTTTAGAGAAAGAACAATGTTTGGCAGGCACACACACCTTTTGATGATTTTCGTTAATTTTTAGCTGCCTTTTTCTCATCAAGAATTATCTTATATCCTTGACATCCTCTACTATAGGTTAATTTGATATCCAGCACCAGCAAGCTGTATTCATGTTATCACTGAAATTTGACCAAAACACTAAATTTATCCTTCAACCTCAACATCTTGTATTGATTTACGGAAATCTCACTTAACTATATCAGCGTACTCAAATATATGTTAGTATAAACTCCACCCCACAATTCTTAAATGCTAAACATTCAGCCATAAATTTTCTTCACACCCAAGGCTCGCAGCTACTTTTTGTTTAAGAATTCGGTTCGGTTTTTTTTGGGCGGTTCAAGGGTTCAAACCGGATCCAAACCGGTTTAATTCGGTTCGGGCGGTTTAGAGACTTCTTCTCATCCATTTAATTCGGTTCGGTTAACCGATCCGTTTTTTCGGGCGGTTTTTTCGGTTGAACCGGTTTGTTTCGGTTTTTGCCCACCCCTAAAAATAAGTGTAATAAGTATATGACGCGGGTTAATACGTGTAAATGAGAATGTATATATTTCAGGATCAACCGGTACACAACTGAACGTAATACAAAATCAAATCGCTAAAGTTCTGAACATCAACATATCTAGATCACACATTGAGTAAAATGCATGCCACATAGACGACAAACCAATGAACACTTAGAACCTCATACACTAATCCATTCACGTTGGTTATTGTCAATAAATTACAACAAGTTGGATATTATTGAAACCTATATACTTTCAAGATCTGAGGAGAAAAATATATAGATTTGTACATAGGATCTTGGAGTAGTTATTTAGAGATATATACATTGGATCATGTAGCAATTAAATACTAAAAATGGCAACTTAACTAAAATAAAACTAAACTAAATATAAAGACAGATTAAAAATTTTAAATAAAGAGGAAGGTGAGCAGTCACAGTCATCACGGTATTGTCCTCTCCTTTGGAAATGGAAAGACATACACGGTCATTTTTTTTCGATTTGGTTAACGTGGGAGTCTCTGAAAAATTAATCAAAGATATCCAAAATGCTTCTAATTATTTTCCTTCGCTTTCCCCCTTGCTTTCCTTTATAAGAGCAGGAGAGGAGCCATTCAGTCACAAAACAGAGAGAGAGAGAGAGAGAGAGAGAGAGAAGGGGAGGAAACCCAAAAAGGTGAGATCTTGCTGAACGAGGGAGAGAAAGAGGAAAAGGGTATCATTCTCTCCATCAACAGAGCAAGAAAACAGTAAGAAGGTGGGATTTTGGTCAATGGGGGATCTGGTCACCTTCCAGTTTTTTCCTGTTAATGGAGCGGCGGAGGACGGGATTCATGGCGGTGAGGTTACTGCCCCCAGGATGCACTGGGCGGAGGTGAAGTTTGTAGAGAAGGCGGTGGAGGTGTCGCCGGCGATCAGGAAGAGCCGGCGGGGCCCACGGTCGAGGAGCTCGCAGTACAGGGGAGTTACTTTTTATAGGAGGACTGGGAGATGGGAGTCCCATATTTGGTTAGTTTTGGCTTCGCCCTTGCAAATTTTTTATTGCTCTTAAAATAGGGAAAATAACTGAATTTTGATTTTTCTGCAGGGATTGTGGGAAGCAGGTTTATTTAGGTAAGAAAGTTTTCATTTTGATTTCGAAAATTTGATTTGATTTCTTTTAAATCACTTGCATATTACCGTTGTTGATCTTTGCATTGGATTTTGTCTTCTTTTTCCTGTACAGGGGGTTTTGACACTGCCCATGCGGCTGCCAGGTATATATATGATGATTACATTTGTGCAAACCACATACGATCTCCCTAAGATTTGCATGATTGACTTTGCTAAGGTTTAAAAAAAAAAGACACTTTATCCTCTACAACATTAATTTGGATGTAAAAGTTAATATAATAGGGTATGACGATTATACACACTCCCATATGAAGATATATGTGATCGTTACCTCGAAAAATTGATGGTTACATCTAACCACTGGTTATTCGACTAGAGCTTTGAAATGAGAGGGGTAGAGTGTCACTTCTAAAATCTTATTATTATTATTATTATTTTCTTTTTTTTTCTTTTTTTTTTCGGGGGTCCATTCTACCTTAAGTGCTTATAGAAACTCGTAATTAATTTCATTGAACTGAACTAGATTGATTATTTTACTTGATTCAGGGCTTACGATCGCGCAGCAATCAAATTTCGAGGGATGGAAGCTGATATAAACTTCAGTTTGAGTGATTATGATGAGGATATGAAACAAGTGAGAGACTTGAATTTTGTCTTTTCCCCCTTATTTAGTTGTGGATGTTTGAGATTGAATTTTGGTAAGAGAGAACTTACTTTGTTTTGTTGTTGGCAGATGAACAATTTAACCAAGGAAGAGTTTGTTCATGTGCTTAGAAGACAGAGTACAGGGTTCCCAAGAGGAAGTTCTAAGTTTCGGGGTGTCACATTGCATAAATGCGGGAGATGGGAGGCCAGAATGGGCCAGTTCTTGGGCAAAAAGTATTGATTTTTATCATTTTTTTGTGTTAGCTTTTCGATGCATTTGATAGCACATAATCTATAATTTTCTCTTTGTCAGATATGTTTATTTAGGCCTTTTCGATACTGAAGTTGAAGCTGCAAGGTATCACATTATCTATTACTATTGATCTTGGTAAGTTTTAGGACGACTGTTCAATCTAATTCTCTTTTGGGGTTTCCAGAGCTTATGATAAAGCTGCAATCAAGTGTAGTGGAAAGTATGCAGTGACCAACTTTGACCCTGGAATGTATGAAAATGAATCAAATTCCATCGGTGAGTTGTTGATAGATTTTAGACACCACCGAGGATTTTGTGTTCACATTGTTGTTTGTTAATGTCTGTGATGGTAATTTGCAGATAATATTACGGATAGCCAGAGTGATCACAATCTTGAGCTGAGTTTGGGAAGCTTGAGCTCAAGGAGAACTGATCTTGAACTGATGGATGAAGCCTATATTGGTGTGGATCATCAAGTACCCATGGCCTATGAATCAGATTGGAAACGTAACACAAGACCGAAGGTATATACTTCTTTCCTTGATGTGATCCCCTTTGGAGAAAAAAAAATCAATTGTTTCAGATAACGCTGTAAATATTAGTATTTACCTCCAAAGCGAAGTACATATAACTTGTATATGATATAGTAGTCCTTATAGGGAGTAGTCATATTCCACTATATCAAGGCTTACAGGAGGTACATGTTTAACAACAGTAGACATTATATACCTATTAACACCAATGCATTAATTTTCATGATGAGTAATTAAGCAAATAAAACTCAGTGACTCCTAGAATAAGTATTATCCACAATTCCACATGCTATTTCAAAATGTAGCAGTAAAATCTAAAGAAATTGAATGCTAGTTAATGATTATCCCCTCAAGGAATTCAGAATTATACTGTTAAAACTGTGAACAAATATTTAGCTTCTAGTAGTTAGTAGTTTATACCAACAAATGCTACATAGAATGGTATTTCTGATACCATGAAGTTGTTTGACATGCAAGATTACTACTTCTATCCTTCGGATGAAAATTCCATCCTTAAATGAGAAAAAAGGGGAAGTTTATACCTTATGAATTATGATAAAGAAAGTGTAAATTCCAATGAACAGTTTGCACTAGTAAACTATCCAATGCTGCAAAATCCTACCTATGTTCTACTCTATTTATCTGGCAAGAAGCAATCTCTATCTGTTTGTTCTATAGTTTATTTATTCCCCATTGTTTAATGAGAAGCTAAATCCTGAATGAAATACTCAAATACCATTTAAGCCTCTGTCACTCAGCCACAACTCAACCCCAGTATTCCAAATTGTACATCCACACTTCAAACCCTCTGGGTGTGACAGAGTATGTGGCTCCCTAACAGAAAGGGTATTTCACAAAAATACCTGTAGGCGTCTAAAATTGTCTACAAGAGCCCGCACGAAACTCGAAGCAATGAATGGGCGAGTCAAGA